CGCCCCCCCGCCCGGCGCACCCCCCCCCCCCCCCCCTCCACGCGCGTACACACACACACTCTCTTTTTCCTTCCCTCCCCCCTCCCTCCGACTCATTTATTTCAATATTTATACCCCACATGCTTGGCTGTCAGCTGCTGCTGGCTTCGTGCGAGTGAAAGGATGAGCGAGCAGGGGAGTTTCCGAAAAGGATCTGACAAAGGTGATCAATATTTTAAGGGTCAGATCGCAATTGGGACCGGAGAAGATGGGAAAGCTCAGGGCTCCCTCCCTCTTTCCAGATGGGCCGCGTGCGCGATCCTCTGCCCCGGCCGCCGAGACCCGGGGTGGGGAAAGAACAAGCTGGCGCAGATAAAGTTAATGGAAAGTGTGTGCACGGTGAAGTGACTCTGCAATCTGTATTGAATATGACAGCAGGCAACTTGTATTGACTTTAGATAAAGGAGGAGGGGGGTGTTGGATTTTTTAGTTTGTGTGGATGTGTGTTTGTTTTTGCAACCATTCCACTTGTCAGACTCATGCACGGTGTCAGTTTGTAACTAGCTGGAGCTACTTATTCTGTGTCTCTGTGCTTTTTAGAAGCTGCCCTTAATTCTGTAGTTTTTTCATAGCATGCTTTATCTTGCCAAAAGTGCCCTTAAATAATTGTATTTCTGACTTTTCTTCATTAGTGTTATTACCACTTGGAGAGCCTTTAGACTTGCAGTCCTTCCTTAGTTGCTGCACAGTTTGTAAGTAAAGTTCCTGGAAAGTGAACCTGGCAGCGAATTCAGTTTTTCCTGAAAGCCAAGACTGTTCGTTTCTTTTCCTCTAGAAGCTTATGAACATTAGGGATACTGAATATCAATTCAGTCACATTCTTCAGTCTTCAGCAGATTTGATATCTCAGTTCCTAGAGCAAATGAAAATCCTCTAGACAGTTTTATATGCATTTTGAAATAAGAAACCTTGACATTGTTAAGCTGATACACCGTTCATTAATAAGTCATTGCTATTCTACTGTGTTTATTGGCATGAAAAGCTGCTCCTTTGTGGCACAATTTTTGAATAATTATTAATCCACAGAGAATTTCTGAAGCCCAAATGTCACATGATAGTAATAAAATAATAATGAATAATATTGACCTTGCCAGCAGGGAGAACTCTTTTAGGACATTCCCATGCCTATGAGACCTGTTGGGGCAAAATCAGCCCTGGTGTGACTTCAGTGGAGTTACAAGGATGAATTTGGCCTACTAGCTGAGCCTTCAAGTAATGTCATTCCCTTTCCAAGAGTATCAAACTCTGGCTTTTGTTAAATAGAAATGCTGAAGGCTCTGCCCAGTTCTGGCCTTCCTATCTAAGAATATCTAGCTTTTTAAAGCATATTCAGACTTCTCTGCCTGTGACTATGCTATCCCAACACAATTTTAGACTTGTTAACAATTTTAGGCATTACAGAAAAATAGCGTGTTGAAGCAAAGAACCCTTCACACATGTCCATTTAAACACTTCTTGGAGCTGCCTACCAGATGAGCTCCTAGCATTCAGAGTGTGGCATATTTTCTCTTGTCAAATATTTTGCTTTGCTTATATCAGTTACTTTTAACTTGCTGGTCAATGGTTCTTAATAAAATATAGTGTTTCGCTTTTTCAAAGTCATGATAAATAATTAATTCTCAACTCCCCAGTGAGCTATTTCAGTAAGTGATATTATCCCCAATTTACAGGTGGGAGAAGGAAGAAAGAAGATTGATTAAGCAATTTGCCTGAGGCCACACATTGAGTTAGATATTGAGATGGGTCTAGAACTCAGGAGTTAGTGGTTCCTCCTAATCCTGTATAAAGACAACACTGCCTCCTAAATACCAAAAGATGATTCATGGAAAATATTACTTTACAAGACATTTCTAGAGTTATATGCATATAATCTTTTTGTTGTTTTAGAAACAGATATTTGCATAAAAACAAAAGGCAATGTAAAAGTGTGACAGGGTGTTCGCCCTGCACTGGCCCTTTAAGGGCAAACCCCAGCCTGAAGCAGGGCTGGGGAGTTTAGCCCCAGCTGGGGCTGCATTAGGGGATGAGGGCCCAGCTGGGGGCTATATAAGAACCTGGGCCGCAGCTCCCAGGAGGAAGGTCAGTGAGGGCCTGGCTGCTGGGGAAGCAGGAGGCTCGCTGGAGCTAGAGCAGGGCTGGGCTGGGCTGGGCTGGGCTGGGGAGCTCTAGCCAAACAAACCCCCAGACTGCAGGGCCTGCATAATGGCCCGGTAGATAAACAACAACCCCTGGAAGGGGGGCTCAGAGACGGACTTGGGCACTGCCGAAGGGCAGTGTGGTGAAGAGGACGACACGGCCTGGAGGAAAGAGGGGAACCCCCACCAGAGGGAAGGTACTCTGCCAGCAGAAGGAGCTGATTCCGGAGGCAGACGGCAGACCCCCGCTACGGTGGTGAGTGGATCCCCTCACAAAATGCTTATCTTTTTATTTCACAGGTGACAACTACTCACCTTTTCCAGAAACATGGTGATATCTGATTTTTGCAGCAGGACCCAAATTCCATAACCAGAGAGTTCTCTCTGAACACAAGAAAACAATTGACATCAAAATTACAGAAATAAATGAAATAGAATTTCTCCCAGAGCCTACGCTTCCGAGAACATGGATCTCAACCTTAAATGTGGCCATGCAGGGCCATGAAAATGGTTAATAAACAAGCTGCCCTGTATGTTGAACTGTGTTTTGTTTTTCTTTGGACTGTATTTTGTTTGTTTCTTCAATATGTCTTCAAAATACAGAAAGGGTTCCTCTCTGCTATGAGTCGTCCCGGTATATGTTGGTTCTGCACTAGCATTGTTGACTCTTGTAGGAACTCTTCTGTTTCAAGTCCTCTAGATCCCTGCTCTTCTATCTCACAAACAAAAAAACCAATTTGTGCAAACAGAAGTCAGTCGTGGGAAAAAAATTCCCTGCTTTAAGTCCTTTGTCTACTCATCCACTTTTCTCAACATACCTTGGACATATAGCGGAGATTCCCTGTACCTGAAAAGAGAAGACCCAGGTGTGGGGAAAACATGATCCAAAGCACACTTGATCTTGTAATGAAAGATTGCTCTATGTTGGATTATTTTAAACAATATAATGGCCTTTGACTGCAGTACAATATTATGGCTAGCATAATGTTGCTAATCTGTAGGCAACAAGAGGTATCTATTGACTTTAAATATATAATATGTTAGGGCTCCTTCAATGTTTTCAGCATAAATGTTTACAATGTTTCACAACACTGAAAAACATACAGGTCCGCAGCGAGTTTCACAGAGCTTTCTTTCATATCAGTGAAACGAGAACATATCACATGCTTTTTGACTGCTATCATGATGAGACTGTGCCATCATACTACTATTTTACAGTATGACAGAGCACAGATGGCATGCCTGAAAAGCAGGTGTACAATATAACTTTCATTTAACTGACAAACAGAAATTTCCTCTCACGGTATGTATAAGCAATGTCCATTCTCTGTTTGCTTTCATATAAGAATGAACAGAAAGTTCTTCTCCTCTTGCTCATCCCTGAAATCTGCAGGTTTCAGAAGAGACTCTGCAAGTCAGTGTTCATATATATTTATCAGTTTACTAATGTTGAGAGCTATATTTTATCTTTTGAAATGTCAGAGTGATGCTAGGGAAACAGGAGCAGTTCTGTTTAAGTAACATGAATGTTATTAGAATAAGATGATCTGCCACAGATTAAAATGGCATATGAATCCTATCTTAATCCATTCATTAGTTTATGGATTCAGAGTCTTCCAGGGAGTGTCACAAATCCATATGATAGCCCTTCCTGGGTGTTATATATTTTTAATATCTATATGAAAAAAATCTAAGTATTCAGAGTTTCCTATTGACCAAACTTCTAAAGGGAATTGTGGGTATAAAGTTTTCAAGATAACTGGCATTAACAAAAATATTGCTATTTCTTCCTGTGTCAGACACTGTTTTTGCCATCTCCACCCATTTTTGGTCAGACATGCCCTATTTTGGGGTTCTACTATAATAAATCTGAAGGACATACTGATTTACAGATGTCTGTATGTGCAAGAGAAACCAGCAGATCCTCAGTGAAGACGCCATTGTCAGCTGCTTAACGGGATATATAAATACAATCAAGGTTGGTCTGACAGTAGCATCTGGTTATTAGCATCCACATAGATTTTGGGAGCAGTAAAATATTTTTTCACTGGCAGGATCCTGAAATGAGACCATCAAAAGTCATAAGAAATATCTTAATTTATAAGTATACTCAATATGCAAGTTGAACTCTGGATTATAAAGAAGGCCACACTATCCAGCATTATAGATGTTCAGTATAATTTTAAGTCCAAACATCGCTCCATAGTACTGCTAAGCAAATTTCTCTCAAAGAAAAACTCTCAGGCTGCGTCTCCACTGGCATGATTTTGCACAAATACTTTTAACGAAAAAGTTTTTCCCTTAAAAGTATTTGCGCAAGAGAGCATCTATACTGGCATGTGCCTTTGTGCAAAAGATTTGCTTTTGTGCAAAAGCATCCGTGCCAGTGTAGACGCTCTCTTGCGCAAGAAAGCTCTGAGAGCCATTTTAGCCATCGGGCTTTCGTGCTCAAGATATTGATGTTACCTGTCTACACTGGCCTCTTGCGCAAGAACACTTGCGCAAGAGGACTTATCCCTGAGCGGGAGCGTCAGAGTAGTTGTGCAAGAACCACTGATTTCATACAGTAGAACATCAGTGTTCTTGCGCAAATACTCACGGCCAGTGTAGACAGGCAGCAAGATTTTGCGTAAAAGCAGTCGCTTTTGTGCAAAATCTTGCCCATGCAGACACAGCCTCAGTAATGTGCAAGCTGATCCTGAATCAAATGAATTGCTTGAATCATTCCCAAGCAATTTGTGCCTAATAGAAATATGATTCTTTTCCCAGATCCTAAAGTACGAGTGAGGCCAGAGTAGAGAAACACTAGCTCAAGATATCTGTTTTGTGATTCCTTGCTCTCACTGTGATTTGATTTAAACTCAGCATACCAGAAACTGAAAATAACACATTGTGCTTTTCCTTTGGCATCTAAGAATAAATGCGGTGAGGAGTCCTGTGGCTCCTTATAGACTAACTGAAGTGTTGGAGCATAAGCTTTCGTGGGCAAAGACCCACTTCGTCAGATGCATGTAGTGGAAAGTATAAATATGCAGGCCAGAATCAGGCTGGAGATGACGAGGTGGATCCAATCAGGGAGGATGAGGCCCACTTCTAGTAGCTGATCTGGAGGTGTGAATTCCAAGAGAGGAGAAGCTGCTTTTGTAGTTAGCAAGCCAGTCACAGTCTTTCAAAGAGAAACTGCTGAGCTACAGTTCATCTTCAAGTTTGACACAATCAACTCTGGATTAAACAAAGACTGTGAATGGCTCGCTAACTACAAAAGCAGCTTCTGCTCTCTTGGAATTCACACCTCCAGATCAGCTACTAGAAGTGTGGGCCTCATCCTCCTTGATTGGATCCACCTCGTCATCTCCAGCCTGATTCTGGCCTGCATATTTATACTTTCCACTACATGCATCTGATGAAGTGGGTCTTTGCCCATGAAAGCTTATGCTCCAACACTTCAGTTAGTCTATAACGTGCCATAGGACTCCTCGCCGCTTTTGCAGATTCAGACTAACGGCTACCCCTCTGATACTTAAAAATAAATGGCTGCTCTTGGGCTTTTTTGACCATGTTTAGAACTTCTGAAATAATGTACTATATATCTAAGAGTGTGTGCACCTGTATGTCCATCTAGACATCTGTGAGTCCATTTGTTCAAGAACACCTCCTAAATGGTAAAATCTAGGATCACCAAATTTGGTATATGGCTTCTTTTTGTAACTTAAAGCAAAGTCAGGGTTTGGTTGTGCCAAGACAATGGGATGTGTGTGTAATGTGATCCTTTCTCATCAAATGGAAAGGGAAGGGTGCGATAGCAGGGACAGCTATACTTACTAATGACACGGGGCAGCAAGCTTAGGGCACAGTTATATCCCAGAATGACCGTAGTGTGGGCAGCAAGTACTCCATCCCCTGAAAAAAATCACCATGGAAAGGGAAGGGTGCGATAGCAGGGACAGCTATACTTACTAATGACACGGGGCAGCAAGCTTAGGGCACAGTTATATCCCAGAATGACCGTAGTGTGGGCAGCAAGTACTCCATCCCCTGAAAAAAATCACCAGCCAGCCACTGCAGCCCTAGGCTGGCCCCCGGGAACA